TTTGTTGGGCAGCCACTGGGGACATGCTGAAGAGAACGAGCTGAGGCCTGCAGCATAGAGCAGCCTGCAGACCAGGCTGCCAGCCCTGCCTGTTCAGCACCATTGCTGGCAGCCTGGTTTGTGGGTCATGGGATCTCCTTGAGACCCTACACATTCTTGCTGCTGGTTCTAGATCAGCACGCCTTTTACACAATGCTCACTGCCGGCTGGCTTGATGGGGACACAAGGCTCAGGCCTTTCCATGTAGACAACCTATTGGCAGGGGAGAAAATGAACTCACTGTGACACAAGAAGCCTGAATAGAGGAGGAACACAGAATGGGGGTGGTGAGTACTTTAGAGGATGCTGGGGGTATGCTCAGGAGGGGGGTGAGTCTCACCCAAGAAGGACTGTGTGGGGACATGCCAGCTTCTGAGCTCACCTGGGGCTCAATCAACAAGATATTCCACATCCCAAAATATACATATACTATCAGAACTGAACCACAGTGCCTGTGAGCACCCTGGATGGTGTCTTCCTTTTGGGACATGCTGCAGCCTTTCCACATGAATGAACCACCCTGTAATACCCTTTTTTGTTGTTGTTGGTGGTGGTCATAGGTCTTGAATTCTGGGCCTGGGCGCTGTCCCTCAGCTTTTCAGCTCAAGGCTAGCACTCTACCATTTGAGCCACAACACCACTTCTGGTTTTCTGGTGGTTTATTGGAGATATGAGTCTCACAGACTTTCTTGCCCAGGCTGGCTATGAACCATGATCCTCAGATCTCAACCTCCTGAGTAACTAGGATTACAGGCATGAGCCATTGGTGCCCAACTTGTGCCCTTTTTTTAAAAAGTGACCTCTCCCCACCTCCCCCAGCCCATTGTTATGGGGCTTGAACTTAGGGCCTGGAAGCTAACCCTGAACTTTTCTGCTCAAGGCTAGTGCTCTACCACTTTGAGCATAGCTCTGTTTCCAGTTTTCTGGTGGTTAATTGAAGGTAAGAGTCTCACCGGGCGCCGGTGGCTCACACCTATAATCCTAGCTATTCAGGAGGCTGAGATCTGAAAATCAAAATTCATAGCCAGCCTGGGCAGGAAAAGCCATGGAATTCTTACCTCCAATAAACCACCAAAAAACCGGACGTGGTGCTATGGTTCAAGTGGTAGAGTGCTAGCCTGGAGCTGAAGACCTGAGGGACAGTCCTCAGGCCCAGAGTTAAAGCCCTATGACAGACAAAAGAAAAAAAAAAAAAAAAAAGAGTTTCACTGATTTTCCTGCCCTGGCTGGCTTTGAACTATACTCCTCAGATCTCAGCCTCCTGAGTAGCTAGAATTACAGGTATGAGCCGCCAGCACCTGGCTTAAAATTTAATTAATTAATTTCAGTAGTGGCGATTGAATTTGAAACCTCACACCCTCTCATTTGAGCCACACCCCCAGGGCTTTTGCTTCTGATTTGTTTTTCAGACAGGGTCTCATGCTAACTCTGCCTAAGTTGACCTCAAGCTGAGATCCTTCTACCTCTGCCTTCTCAGTAGTTAGGACCACAGACTTGTACCACCACACTTGGCTATGCTATCAAAGGCTCATACTATACTCTCTCTTAAGTGCTGCAGAGCCTGATCCTTTCAGTGGGAAACATCTAGAGATCCCAGTGATCTAGAGTTTTTTTTTCTGCTAAATCTCCTTTGTAAAAGTCAAAGGTCAGAGCTCCATGTTTTAGAAAAGAAACCCTGAATTTCCAATTTGAACTTGACATTATGGGGTTGCAGCTATTATCTTTGAGTAACATACTTATTTGCAACTCTCATATTAAGATACAGTCCTCAAGGGTGCCTTATGAAACATGGATTTTGCTAGATGTGGTGTTTACAGCTGTAATTTCAGCTACTGGATAGGCAAAGATTGGGAAGATTATAGTTTGAGAATAGCCTGGCCAAAAAATAGTTAGCAAGACCCCTTCTCAACAAAACAAGTCATGTATGGTGGCATACAGTCTGTCATTGTAGCTACATAGGAGGCAGAGGTTGGAGGATTGCTGTGGGGAGCCAGCCTCAGGCAAAAGGTGAGACCCTATATGAAAAATAAGTCAAAAAGGCTGATGGTATGACAGGGGCTAGAACACCTGTCTAGCATATTTAAGGCCCTGAGTTCAAGCCACACTACCACACACACACAAAAAGTGGCTTTCTCTCTATAGTCTTCTATATGTGTCAGCCTTCTTTATCCAAGTGTTTCACATCCATGAATTCCATCAACAATGGTTAAAGTTTTGTTGTTGTTGTTGGTGGTGGTGGTGGTGATGGTGGTGGTGGTGGTGGTGGTGGTGGTGGTGGTGGTGGTGGTGGTGTGTGTGTGTGTGTGTGCGCGTGCTGGTACTGGGGCTTGAACTCAGTACCTGGCCATTGTCTCAGCTTTTTTCAGTCAAGGCTGGGACTGTTACCACTTGAGCTTTAGCTGCATTTCTGGCCTTCTGCTGGTTAATTGGCAATAAGAATCTTATAATAAGAATCTTATATAGACTTTCCTGCTCCGACTGGCTTTAAACCATGATCCTCTGATCTCAGCCTCTTGAGTTAGCTAGTTTACAAGCATGGGCCACTAGTGCCTGGTGGAAATTCTTTTTTGATTGTACTGTGCTGACCATGACTCTTTTCTTTTGTCATTGTTCCTTAAATAACCACTACTTACCTAGCATTGACATTGTATTCTTACCAAAGTCTAGCGATGCTTTAAAATATACAGAAATGCATGTGTAAGGTTGTATACAGATGCTGTGGTATTTTGTATAAAACATTTGAGCGTTTGTGGATTCCTTGGGAATCCTGGACTCAGTCCTAAAGACACTGAGGGAGGATTAGTTCATCATTAACTTCACATGCAGTTGGGATAATTGGTTTTAGGTTCCTAGTTTTTAGACATTCTTTTCCTATGTTAATGTAACTTATTTTTTGAATATTTGAACTATGTATAGGAATTTTAAAAAGCCAAAGTGTCACAGGTGTGTTTAGGGTAGTCTTGTTTGTACTTCTGTCCCTCTCACCTCTTCTCCCCCTTTCTGTATCTATGGGGTGCTGCTTTTGTCTTTTCAGATTCCTTCTAGAATCATGTATGTGCTCGAGATCATGTATAGGTCATGTGTGTGCATTCCCCTACCCTCTCAAGGCAGGTATCTTGCTCCACACACTGTAGTGTCCTCTTGCCTGCCCTGATCCATCCCTGAAGTCCCAAGCATCAGCCTAGGGAGCACAGGGACTCCTCTTGCTGAAGTTCAGGCTCTTGGCCTTCAGTGGCCTGTGGCTGGGGGAACAGAGCAACAGAAGAGTCTCTGTGTGAGCCCCATTCTTGCCTGGTCCCTTATTGGCTGACCAGCCAATGGGTCCAGCAGGGATCCCAGGGCCCAACTAGGAGAACCTTGTTTATGTTCAGGGCCTAATGGAGCAAAGAAAACATGGCAGGGAAGGAAGAGGCTTCAGGGAAAGGGGTAGGGCCTGGTGCCTGAGGAGAATAGGGTGGCTGTGGCCAGGAAAGGGACCTGGTATCCAGGCTAGCCCCACAATTTCCCAGGGCCTCACCCTAGTTGACAAGAGAAGACATTTGCAGCATCTTGGATTTATGGGGTTCTCAGTCCCTCACTCTGGACTGGAAGGTTCAACCCTTTGTATTGTCAGAAGTAAAATAATGTACTTTTTTTTTTTTTTTTTTGCCAATTCTGGGGCTTGAATTCAGGGCCTGGGCACTTGGGCACTGTCCCTGGGTTTTTGTGTTCAAGGTTAGTGTTCTACCACTTTGAGCCACAGTTCCATTTGGGGCTTTTTGGTAGTTAATTGGAGATAAGAATCTCATGGACTTTCTTGCCCAGGCTGCTTTGAACAGCAGCCCTCAGATCTCAGCCTCCTGAATAGCTAGGATTACAGGTGTGAGCCAGGTGTGAGGTGGTACCCGGATAAAATAATGTATAATTATATGTGAAAATTCAAGGAATGGGACTGGGGGCATAGCCTGCCTTACATGCATGAAACTCTGATTTCCAACCCCAGTACTACAGAAACCAAATCTAGAAGGAAGGAAGGAAGGAAGGGAAGGAGGGTTGTATGTGGAAAAGTGGGCCTATAAGAATGGGCAGAGAGGCAATGACAGGAAGGACTCGTGACCAAGGGTGGTTGGAACACAAGGATGTTGGCTGCTCTGGCTCCTGAGCCACTCTAGGCCTTTGTCTGGGTCCATGAGACCCTGTGTTCATTCTCTGTGGGAGAGAGACTTACAGGCCCCATCTGGCAAAAGACTGAACCACAGGGCCTGGACATTATCTGTGGATTCAGCCTAGGTATGGCTCACTTCCTCTTAGTTTGTCCAGTCAGGGAGGAAGCCATTAGGTGTCCTTTGTAGGAGGACACTTAAGGCCCAGGGGCCAAGGAAGTATCTGAAGCGCTGTGCCCCACAGTGTGATGTCCCGCAGAGCTGCTGTATGGGCAGGGACTTGCCATAAAGCAGTATTGGAGGAGCCTGTGTTCGGAGGATGGCACATGTTACTGTGTTGGTTGTGATGTTTGTTAAATGTTCATTTCATGTCCACAGCAAGGCCAGACTTCAGTGTTTCATGTTTGTCAGTGTCTAAGTTTCCATTCCTTTTTTTTTTTTTGAGGCAATGTCTGGCTAAATTACCCCGGCTGGCTGGCCTCTAAGCCTCCTGCCTCAGAAGTGGTTGAGACTATAGAAAAGCTACTGTACCCAGCTCTGAGAAATATTTACTTATCTACTTACTTACTTACAAATCAAAACAACAGCCTAGCTAAGTGTTCTACCACTCAGCTGCATCCTCAGCCCTTGTTTTTTTGGAAACAGGATTTCAAGATCCTATTGTAGCTCAGGCTGGCCTTGAAATTAGGAAGCTCCTGCCTTTGCCTTCTGAGTATTGGGATTATGGGCATGCACCATAATCAGATATGCTTTAAATAAAAGGATCCTAGGTTAAAAAAACTGCTAAAGAAAAAATCTTTCAACTTTTTCTGTCTTCAGGGCGAGTTCCAGAAACCAGAGGTCTGAATCTAGAGAAGGCTGGAGTCAACACCAACCCTGAGACTCAGAAGATTCTTGTAGACTCCCGGGAGGCCACCTCTGTCCCTCACATATATGCCATCGGAGATGTTGCTGAGGTTTGTATACCCTGCACACTCTCAGCCAGCCCCAGCGGCTGTGACCCCCCATCCTGTAACTCGCCTACCTACTTCAGGTATGCCTTAGAGGTTCACTTTCTCCAACAGCTGCTGCCCTGGGAAAGAGACAGTTTTCTTTGCTCACAGAGGTACCAAGCACAGACAAAACCCCAGGGACTAGTGGGTACATTCTGAGAAGGAGGGAGTCATAACTGTCTCTTTCCAATGTTATTCCTTTTCCTGGAAGTTTGGTGTAAAATGGCCTTAAAAACCCTGTAAGTAGGGGCTGGGAAGGTGGCTCAGTGGTAGAGCGCTTGCCTTGCATGCATGAGGCCCTAGGTTCGATTCCTCAGTACCATATAAGCAAAAAGAAAAAAAAAGCCTGAAGTGGCACTGTGGCTCAAGTGGTAGAGCACTAGCCTTGAGCTGAAGAGCTGAGGGACAGCGCCCAGGCCCAGAGTTCAGGCACCACGATTGGACTCCCCCCCTCAAAAAAAAAAAAAACACCAAAACACTGTAAGTAGCTGGGTGCTGGTGGCTCATGCCTATGATCCTAGCTCAGGAGGCTGAGATCTGAGGATTACAGTACAAAGCTAGCCTGGGTAAGAAAGTCCATAAGACTCTTATCTCCAATTAGCCACCAGAAAACTGGAAGTGGAGCTGTGGCTCAAAGTGGTTGAATGCTAGTCTTGAGCAAAAAAGCTCAGGAACGGTGCCCAGACCTTGAGTTCAAGTCTCATAACCAGCCAACAACAACAACAATAAAAACACTGTAAGTATAATTATCTAAACCTTACCAGGGCTGTTGCTGGACATGCCTCAGAGCCGTCTTGTTCCCATTGAGAGAGAAGGGAAGGCTGGATTCAATCCAATCTGGCCTGGTCTTCCTTGCCTCAGTTCACCCTCTGCTCTGGAAGTAGCTTCCATTCCCCTACTGGCTAGGCTGACACATGGAAACATGGCCTCTGCTCCTAACCACCACTCTGGAATGGGGACTAACTGATTGATCTCTACTAATTGAAATCTCTACACCCTGTTGCTCAGTTTGGGAAGCATCCAGCCATCATCATTCTCCTTCACAGACTCTTAGCAAAAGACTCAAGGGGTCAGTACTGTGCCACCACATCCCCACAGCCTTGGGCAGTCAGCCTGCCCTATGTGTTTCTCATGTATCTTGAGGAAGGTAGCTCCTTCCTTGACCCTTGGTCAAACAAGCTAAGGGGGCTCCCTGCATCTCCAGGTCCCAACACCTCTGTGTGATGAGACCTGTCCACTGTGCCCATGTCTGTGTTTCTGTCTTGGAGCTTCAGGAACAAATAGTTTAGGCCACTCCAAAGCTGATGACTTAGAACAACAGAAATCCATTCTTTCACATCCAGCAGCAGAAGTCTGAAATCAGGCTGAGGGAAGGGCCTTACTTCCTCAGGACCCTCTGGGGAAGATGCTTGCAGTTTCCTTCTGCTTTGGCCCAGGTATCCCCTTGGTCCTAGCTGTAATCTCTCTAGTCCTTGTCTCTTCATCAGGGTTATACTGTACCCTTATCTATCTCTTATAGCCTAGCTCTCATCAGATTTAGGGTCCATCCTGATCCACTGTGACCTCATTATGTCTGCAAGAATCCTATTTCCAAATGAGATTGTGTGCTGAGTTCCAGGCAGACAGGAGTTTCAACCCACCCTAATGTGTTCATATAGATTAGGTCCTAGGTTTCACCTGCTGAATACTAGATATTTTTCTGGGGACTAGGGGACATGGCAGAAACAAACTTTACACTCGTCTACAGTTGCACCAGGTAGAGATCAAAGATGGCAAGTGTCAGGAGAAGCCTGGGGGGAATGATCTCTGGGGACCCAGCCAGTATCCCCCCCTCATCTAGAGCTGAGCAGGCTTGGTGATGGTAGCTGTGCCCTCAGGATGATGTACCTGCCACCCTGCCCTGGAGCTCACTTTGGAAAATGCCAAGGAGTCATTTAAAGAGGAGTGAGAGCCAGTGTTTGAATCCAGCAGTTGCTTGGGTGGGGCATCCTGGAGCTGTGCTTCTCCAGCATCTGTGGTTACTGATGCACAAGGACTGTCCCTCTTAGTGTGCTCTGTCAGGTTGCCAAAGCTCCTGCTGGACTGGGCTAAAGTTTGTGCTCCATGTGGAAATAGGCCAAGGAAGGGGGCTGTGCAAAGGTTGGAGCACATCAGTCATGCCAAGCATTAGGCCCTGGCACAGCCCCCATCCCCCCCTTGACTCCCCCTCTCCCCCAGGGCATTGCTGTCCCTGGTCCCCAAAGAACAAGAGCTAAGTAGAAGCCCTAGGCTCTAGGAAACAATGTGTGGGGTACTGAGGACCTTTGGTGTCCACATTGCCAATATGAGGTTCTTATGTGACAGTTTTGAACACCCCCCCTCCCACTGCACATCTATTTCCACCCTCACTCCCCCAGAGGAGCTCTATAAGGACAGCTGCGTGGGATGGGGCTTGCTGTCAGATGTCAGTCTGGCCCCACTCCTGCTGGGCCTTATTGAAGCCATCTAAATGATAACTTCACGGATCAGCTGTCCTAACACTTAGCTGGGTAGCACATTGCTTTGTCTCTGTCTGTGCTTGGTTTGGCCATGAGGAGCTGTCTACTGAATCTCAGGACCACTGCACCATAAGACAGCATAGGTATTCTTGCCAGAGGTGTGCCATATGTACCTCTGTGAACCACAAAAAGCCTGCTTTGCCCCCACTAGTTGATCCTTGGCCACACAAAGCGCAGTTCCCAGGCTCCAGGACCTGGGCCAGTGTGGTAGAGACCATAACATTTCAAATTGTGTTGCCAGAAGTATGTGGCACATACAGACAGTATTTCTTGAAAAGCAAAAAAACAATCTCCTCCCCCAATCCAAACAGTCTGAAAGGTCATTCTGAACAGTATAAAGAGATAATGCCCCAGTGGTCAGACCAGAGGCTGAGAAGAGCCCCAGGGGTGGAGTAGGAGGCTATTGTTTAATGAGATATTGTGTGCTGCCTGCGTGGATGTGGATGTTTCCGCAGTTAGTCAGGCCTGGTGGAATGCACACTGCTTTCCCTGGTTTATCTCCGCAGATCTCCATTCACTTCTGGAATGCCAAACAACATTTGCATTTCCTGCTGCAGAGGTGATTGGCAGCTGGTCCCAGGTTGACTGTGCAGGAACACCCAAAGGCAGGGCACACCCTGATACAGAGGAGGGGTATCTCCTTCAGAATGACACCGATTTAAGATTTGTCATGGGCTATGACGTGCATGTCAGGAGCACGCGGCACACTTGGGGCCCATTTTACCTGAATCCTAGTTAATGGTAACAGAAAGGATTGTTCTGAGCTTTCTGGTGTGCACAACCCTCTGAAGTCATCAGCATGGATAAGGGGTTCCGAGTAAAGCCCTGAATGAGTGAGGGTGACAGTGGTTGGACTGTTTCTTTCCAAGAGATGGGGATGGTAACCCCAGGCATTGCCCCAAAGCATGGTGGCAGGAAATCAATGAGAGCCAGTGCTCCACAGCAAAAGGCTGGCAGCCCCTGCCAAACAGTGTTCAGGGGGTGGGGGGGGGAGGGGTTCCAACAGGGAGCCACTCACTAGAATGACATGGGGGGAGACTGTGTAGACGCCCTTGGACATGATGCTGATGTAACTTTGAACTCTGTCCATCAGGGGCGGCCCGAGCTGACACCCACAGCCATCATGGCAGGGAAGCTCCTGGCCCAGCGGCTTTTTGGGCAATCTTCAGACCTGATGGATTACAGCAATGTGAGTTCTCTCTCTCTCTGTCTTTGTTTTGTTGATGTAATCTAGGTTGGCCCAGAGGTCTCTTATATAGCCCAGGCTCACCTGGAACAGCAGCCCTTCCCCCTCAGCCTCCTGAGTACTGGGATTATAGATGTTCTCCACCATAGATTCTTTAAAGAACTCAAGTCCAGATTGGAAGGGCTGCACTGGTTCTTCTTGGGGAAGGAAGTGTGCATCCGTGTATGCACACTGGGTATGAATGGGTTTTTATACACATGTGCACATGAGCTTGCCTATGTGTGCATGCAATTGGTTGTGTTTTGTTTATATCTGTGCATGAGACTGCCTGTGTGCATACAGTGGATTGAGAATGTGAGTGGTTTGTACACACATGTTCATGAGCCTGCTTGTGTGTGATACAGGATGAGTCTTGTATTCTTGTGTGTGCATATGCAGGCACCTGTATGTGTTTGCCTGAGTATATGGCCCAGGAACAAGGAGGAAACCCACCAATTGTGTTGATGGCCTACCAGCCACTAGGGCTAGAGCTCTGGCCTGAGATCCCTGCTAAATCACTGGGTCACACAGTGGGCACCTTTTTTTTTTTTTTTTTTTTTGACCAGTCCTAGGGCTTGAACTCTGTGCCTGGGAGCTGTTCCTAAGCTTTTTATGCTCAAGGCTGGTGCTCTAGCACTTTGAGCTACAGCTCCATGTCCAGCTTTTTGGTAGTTAATTGGAGGTAAGAGTCTCACAGATTTTCTTGCCTGGGTTGGCTTTCTGCTGCAATCCCCAGATCTTCTGAGTAGCTAAGATTACAGGTGTGAGTCACTGGCACCTTGTGGTGGGAACCTTTTCAATACCTGATTCAACATCTGCTTTCCAGGTTCCCACAACCGTCTTCACTCCGTTGGAGTATGGCTGTGTGGGGCTGTCGGAGGAGGAGGCTGTGGCTTGCCATGGACAGGAGAACATTGAGGTAGGTACTGCTATCACCTCTGACGATGTGTAGCCCTCACTCCCATGGTGGCTCCTCTCTGGGTGAGTGCCCTGTGTATGGAGGTGTTGTCATTCCTGCTTCCCAGGCCCCTGACTTGGTGGGCCCTAGGATAGGGTCTATAATGATGGCCAGGGTGCAATGGGAACAGAGGGGAGCTAGAATAGTGGAGGGAAGCTCCAGAATCAAAGCCTTCTGGTTTGGGGGACATAGCTCACATAGTAGAGTGTTTGCCTAGCAAACATAAGGCCCTGAGTTCAATCCATAATACTGGAAGAAAAGTGAGGGTTCTGACCGCTTTGGCATTACTCTTGAGCCCCTGCCCCTCAGCTGCTTGCTGCCCATATTGTGTGACTATGGAAAACCCCACAGCTCAGTATTCTCCAGCGCCATTACCAGTTACAATGCAGGCACACACAAGCACCTCCTGGAATCCCCAGCAGTTTCAGGGTCCAGTGTTAGCAACTCCAGCATCCAAAATGCTTGTCACACCAGGTCTGGGAACCACTGTGGCTCCCCTAACCTTGCAGGGCACAGCTCAGCCTGGAGTGTCCTTGTCCTCTTCTGCTTTCTTCTACTCTGCCCTCCTGCCCCAGCTGACCTGTGCCCTCCTCCCCACAACTCTGCTGTCTTGGGAGTCTTCTTGGGGCTCCCTCAGGAATGGCTCTCATTTACTTGATTCTCCTATCCTTCTAGGCCCCGATAGGAGGTTTTACCCCCCCTCAGGTATTTACCACTAGGAAAGAGACTTTCATCAGGCAAGGCTGCCTTTTTTTTTTTTTTTTTTTGTGAATTGTGGAGCTTGAACTCGGGGCCTGGGCTTTTTCTACTCAAAGCTAGAGCTCTACCACTTGAGCCACAGCTCCATTTCTGGCTTTTTTGGCATTTAATTAGAGATAAGAGTCTCGCAGACTTTCCAGTCTGGGCTGGCTTTGAACCGTGATCCTCAGATGAGTAAGCTAGGACTATAGGCATGAGTCACCAGTGCCCAGCTGCAAGGCTAGTTTTTGAGGTCTGCCCTAGCCTGTAGGCCATGGCTTCCAGAGTGGCTACTGAGCTTATCCGGATGGCCCGGAGTGTGCCCTGGTACCATGGCTCAAGCCATAGGCTCTGAGGCGCATCATTGTGGTGGGCCTTGGGTGTCCTGGTGGCCACTCTGCCTCTATAGTTCACAGGGAGTCTCAGGCCATGGCGTCTCTATAGTCAGCTGAGTTGTGTCCTCACACTGAGTCTGAAGGCTGAAAGTGCTCAGCCGGGGAAGTCGGAAGGCTCCAGTGAAGTTTCAGCCTCTTGCTGTAACAGCTTGCAGGCAGTGGGGGAAGCCTGACCCCATGTGCCCTGGATGGTGAGGTCTTTTCCATTTGGGACCATGTCACTGGGCTACAGGGCCTGCCCTTCCCTGGCACCCCAAGTCCCTCTGTCGCTGGGACAGGCCTGACAGGCTCACCTCCCCCAAGCACTTTATTTGCTATTTTTGTTTGATTCATCAGAAGTATACTGAGCCATATGTTCATGGCATTTTATAATGTTGTTTTATGTTTCACGATGTTGAATGGCCAAATGCCCATTGTTTGTTTTCTTTCCAGTTCTGTCTTGCTTAGAACAATATTCTCTGCAGCCCTATTAATTAATAATGGCTGTGCAGCACATGTGAGGCCCCCACTCATTTTTTACCCAGCCGCAGCCCCAAACGTGCTGTCGAGACCTTTTGTGGGTGCTGAAAGCGCTTGTCCAACAGCTCCAGTGTGGCCAGGGCCTGCTCTGCCCCCCACCTCCCTAAAATGAAGGCCAAGCCTGTGTCAGGCTCTCCAGGAGGAGGATAGATAGTCACCTATCAGTCCATTCTCACCCCAGGATGGACATCCACAGATATGCTGCGTGCAGCATGATATCTATGTCTGCCCCCACGTGCCTAAGCCATGGGCTCTGTGAAGCATCTTTGTGGGTGGCCTTTAAGCAGCCTGAGCCCATTCTGCTGCCGTAGTTACAGAGGGTCTCTCTGTAACCTATAAGGCTCCAGGCAAGGTCCACCTATGCCATTGTAGAGGGAGGTGCTCTCTGCAGCCAGCTGAGCTGTGTTCTCACTCCACGCCAATTGGGTGGCTCTAGATCTTTGAAAACCTCTCCCCTCCCTGTGCCCTTCCTATTGGAGCCATGGGATGCCTACAAGACTGGCTTTGCTGGTATGGCTGCCAGTGCCTAGAATGGGTATTTTGTCATCACCCAGGTTTACCATGCATTCTATAAACCACTGGAGTACACTGTGGCAGAACGAGATGCATCCCACTGCTACATAAAGGTCAGTGTCCATGGGGACCTGGGGCTGGGGTCCAGGGAGTGGGAGGGAAAGAGCCAGCAGTGGTTTGGGGGAATTCTGTGGAACTTTTCTCCCAAAGATCAGCACAAACATCTAAGGGCCACTCATGCCTCAAACCCAGGGCTGCAGAAATGAAGCATAGCTGGGTTTCCCCCATACCCCTACAACTCCCCCCACCTCGCCCCACCCCCTGCCATTGGCTGAGACATTGTGGCTTTCAGATGGTGTGCCTGCGGAAGCCCCCACAGCTGGTGCTGGGCCTGCACTTCCTTGGCCCCAACGCAGGCGAAGTTACTCAAGGATTCGCTCTGGGGATCAAGTAAGTCTGCAGGAATGTGGGCTGGTAAGCGATGCTCCGGGACAGCACAGTGGAAGGCCAGGGTTTCACGTTGCTGTCATGTGGCCTTACGTGTGTTCACAGCAGGAATTCTTCAGGCTCCCTCCAGACCTGGTAGGCTTGGTGGAGACAGGCAGCTTTCTCCAGAGCCATACAGCATGTCTGCTATGGTTCTGGGACTCTGCTTGGTCCTCGATGGTCAAGACAAGCAGGGCTGGGCCCTCACTAGGCCAAGTCTGAGGATGTTCTAAGCAAGGTCCAGGTCCAGAGTGTGCCAGGACAGAGTGTGCCAGGACAGAGTTAGCTGCCTGTCTTCTGGGGCATGGACTATGGACCGTTGTCTGGGTCTTGAACTAAGACTGAATGTTGGTGAGGGGTTTTTTTGTTTGTTTGTTTTTTGGTTTTTTTGGTCAGTCGTGGGTCTGGGCACTGTCCCTCAGCTCTTCAGCTCAAGGCAAGGGCTCTACCACTTGAGCCACAGTGCCACTTCTAGCTTTTTCTGCTTATGTGGTGCTGAGGAATTGAACCCAGGGCCTCATGCATGTGAGGCAAGCACTCTACCACTGATCCACCTTCCCAGCCCTCAGACAGGGTTTTGTGTTTTGTTTTGGATAGGAAAGGAGGGAGAAAGAGGGAAAGAGAGGGAAAGAGAGAGAGTATATGTGTGTGTGTGTGTGTGTGTGTGTGTGCGCACATGCACATCCTCACATGTACACACAATGCTGGGGATCAAACCCTGGGCCTGACAGGATCTAAGCACACTACTCTGTCACTGAGCTATAGCCTTAGCCTTTTAGCTGTGTTTTTGGAATGCCAAAGCCTGAAGAGATGGTTCACATCATGTATCCCTCTCCAAAAGGCAGCAAGGCCTAGGGACTTGGGGACAGAAGAGCCAGGAAGGGACCAGCTACCTGAAGATGAAGCAGAAGTGAGCAGACATAGAGAAAGGAAAAGAGGGGCTGGGAAGGTGGCTCAGTGGTAGAGCGCTTGCCTTGCATGCATGAGGCCCTGGGTTCGATTCCTCAGCACCACATAAGCAAAAAGAAAAAAAGCCAGAAGTGGAGCTGTAGCTCAAGTGGTAGAGCGCTAGCCTTGAGCTGAAGAGCTGAGGGACAGCGCCCAGGCCCAGAGTTCAGGCCCCACGACCGGACCCCCCCCAAAAAAAAAATCAGAGAAAGGAAAAGAGAAAGAGGATGTGTACACAGCTGGGGTCACATGTATATAGTGTGGCTAAGAGTTGTCCTTGGGGGTAAAGGTCCAGGATAGAAAAGAGCAGAAAGATGACTGGGGCACAGATATATTGAGGGGCTCTTTAGACAAAATGGAGGGTCTAGAACAGACTATGGAGCCCACCCTCCCCCATATGTGGCCTGGGTTCTTGGCTAAGACCACCCCTTTCACAGGGCAGTGACCCTCAGGTCCACCATGGCCCACCTAGCCTGCTCATACACACCAGGGTGATGGCTGGGTTGTGGGGATCAAGTTCTCCTGGGAGATGGGCCTCCGAAGATGACAGAGAGGGCTGGGTGCAGATGGGCTCATGTCCTTGGACCATGTGGTCCCTAAGCTGCAGCGTTGTCTGGTAGAGCTGCCATTTGGGAGTTCAGTCAAGAACCCAATTGGGCTGCAGTCTTCGTTGAGAGCACTGATGGGCAATGGGGTGGAGGTCATGGGTGCAAGGAGAATGGCTGTGGGTGACCTTTAACATCTGGCCCACGCAACCTTTTTTTTTTTTTTTTTTTGGTCAGTTGTGGGATTTGAACTCAGCCTGGGTGCTGTCCCTCAGCTCTTCAGCTCAAGGCAAGTGCTCTACCACTTGAGCCACAGCGCCACTTCTGGTTTTCTGGTGGTGAATTGGAGATAAGAGTCTCACAGGGGCCTGGGAAGGTGGCTCAGTGGTAGAGGGCTTGCCTTGCATGCATGAGGTCCCAGGTTCAATTCCTCAGCACCACATAAGCAGAAAAAACCGAAGTGGCACTGTGGCTCAAGTGGCAGAGTGCTAGCCTTAAGCTGAAGAGCTGAGGGATAGCCTGGCCAGGCCCCAGAGTTCAGGCCCCACAACAACAACAACAACAACAAAAAAAAGAAGATTCTCACAGACTTTCCTGCCGGGGCTGGCTTTGAACCATGATCCTCAGATCTCAGTCTCCTGAGTAGCTAGGATTACAGGCATGAGCTACTAGTGCCTGGCTCCCACTGAACCTTTGATCTAGGGGGTTTCTGGGGCTGGCAGGAGGCAGGAACAGCCCTGGCCCACATGACCTGTTGCCATCCATGTACTCTGCCATGCAAATGCTGCTACTCAGATCAATACTCAGTTTCTGGAATAATTTCTAGAAAGCCCCTTAAGTTGTGGTAGCCTCCTTTTATAATGTAACTGCAAAGGGCTGATTTCCTTAATATGCAAAGAGCTCTTACAACTCAATATCTGTAAACAACCAGAAAGAAAGAAATATAGACCATTGGCAGTTTACACAAAATAAAAATAAGAATCAGCTCGTGCCTGTAATACGCCTGTACTCCTAGCTACTCTAGAGGTTGCCATACCCACCCACAGCATCCCTGTCTCTAGACCTCGGGCCACTAGGCTAGAAAGCCTGAGTGGGGCCAGGTCTTAGAAGGCCACAAAGTGGGCTGAGGAATTCTCCTTTTAGGGCCAGCTATAGGGCCAAACTAGGTCCCCCTCCTGCCACTCCTTCATGTCCTTACTGTGCAGGCAGAATGTCAAGGCATGGCCACCCACAGAGCAACCATGTCTCTGTCTGGTGCTTGAGACAGGATGTGAGTCTAGGCAGGTGCGAATAGAAGTGGTAACAAATAGGCTCTTAGCTGGGCACAGTGGCTCAAGCCTATAATTCTAGCTTCATGGGAAGCAGAGACCAGGGGATTACAATTCCAAGCTAGCTTGGGCAAAAAGAAGTTTGAGAGATTCCATCTCAATCAATGGCTGGATGCAGTGGCCTGCATCCCCAGTGACTTAGGAAACCACAAATAGGAATCACAAGCCAGGCCAGCCCTGCATAAAGCAAGACCCTGCTGTTAAAATAACCAACACTGGCTGGTGGCTGTAAGCCAGGATCTCAGGAGGCTGAGATCTGAGGAACTAAGCCAGCCTGGAAAGACAAATCTGAAAGACTATGTCCACTTAACCAGCAAAAAGCTGGAAGTAGAGGTGTGGCTCCAGCCTTGAGTGGAAAAGCCAAGCAAGAGTTAAGTCATTGAGTTCAAACCCCACTACTGACACAAATAAGTGAATAAATAATGACATAAGACCAATACAAAAAGGGGCCAGAGACATGTCTCCAGTAGTAGAGCACTGACCTAACAAATGTGAGAGCCTAAGTTCAATCCCCAGAATGCCCTTTGCCCAAAAAAGAAGTATTCTCCCCCTCACCTGGGTGGGCAACTCCAGCCTCTCCTTGACACAGTGAGGCAGGCACCCAGCTGGGACTGTGGTAGGAGGAGAGAGGCAGGAGGCCAGAGAGGCTGGAGGGGTGGTGGGCCCAAGGCAGTTATCCTCTGGCCCTGTGGGTACTGGGCACTTGTTAGGAGGCAGATGGAAAGGTGTGGCATAAGTGCAGGTGTGTGGCTGCTGGCTGGAGCAGAAGGAAGGGAGGAAGGGAGACCCTGTGGCTTGCAAGGCCTCGCCAGGGGCAGAGTGTAACAGACTCAGCTTCCTGTACTGAGTCCTGGCCTCCTCCACCCTGCGTGCACAGGTGTGGAGCCTCCCGTGCGCAGGTGATGCGGACAGTGGGTATCCACCCCACCTGCGCTGAGGAAGTGGTCAAGCTGCACATCACCAAGCGCTCAGGCTTGGACCCCACTGTGACTGGCTGCTGAGGCTAAGCCACCATCCCTGCCAGGCGAGGACACACGGTGAGCTCCCCCCCCACCAGACACGCTCCTCTCACCCAATCCAGGTACGCAGGTTTCAAGGTGAGATGCGTGGCTAGGGATTGGGGAGCCATCACAATGGGCTTGGTGCCAGGTACAAGGTAAGACTTTACCTGCTGTGCCGCCTTTTGGTGAGATCTGCCACTTGTGCCTAGGCCATTGTAACCCAGAAGCAAAGCCAGGAGAGGAGGCCATCAAGAAACCCACCCTCTTGGGGCTGGGAAAGTGGCTCAGTGGTAGAGCGCTTGCCTTGCATGCCTGAGGCCCTGGGTTCGATTCCTCAGCACCACAGAAGAAAAAAGAAAAAAGCCGGAAGTGGCGCTGTGGCTCAAGTGGTAGAGTGCTAGCCTTGAGCTGAAGAGCTGAGGGACAGTGCCCAGGCCCAGAGTTCAGGCCCCATGACCGGACCCAAAAAAAAAGAAAGAAACCCACCCTCTGAGAGGTACAGCCATTGCTGTCCCCCCATATGCAGGAGAGGCCAGGGCTTACAGCATGGTGTCCCCTGGGCTTTCCTAGGTCACTGCTCCCTATGGGCTCCTGAGGAGCTGGTCTCCTCCACTCCCTCCTCCAGTGGGTACACCAGCAGGGGCTGGTTTCCATCTTGCCCAGAAGGTGGAGATGCTGCCTCATGCACAGCCAGCTGCCACCTACCATCTGCTTCTACTACAGCTCTGCAGATCTGGGCTGCTGGGGCAGCCAGAGAGTGCTCTCAAGGAAGAAGAGATTAGTGAGGGCCTTGCTCTCCTGCCAGAGGCCTGAATGTGGCCAGAGCCTTGTCACCTCTCACACCTGACACCATCCTCTGGATCTTTTGTCCACACCATCCAGGCTGCTCTGCTGGGGGACATTCCTCCATAGCTGTCAGCTCTTCTGGGGTTGGAGCTCTTTGGGTCACCTCTCTCCTCTGGGGCTAAGTAGAGACTATTGGAAGTGTGGGGTTTGAGGGTCTGAGCAGCAGATGGGGGTCCAGTGGCCTGCAGAACTAGGCCAGGAACCTCTGCCAGCACCTAGGTTTAGGTATTTTGGCATCAGCTCCACTGTGCCGTCCCCCCCCCGCCCCCGAGCCTTTGATACAGACACACAGAGGGCACCCTGAAATGTTGTTAGAGTGTTATCAGGAAAGTAGAAGCTTGGCTCAAGTGTGGAACATAAGCTACAAGGGGAAAAAGCCAAGCAAGAACTCCAATCCCTGAATTCAAGCCCTAATAGCAACACACACACACACACACACACGCATGCACGCACACACACACGCACACACACACATGCACACACACATGCACACACACATGCACGCACACACATGCACGCACACACACACATGCATGCACGCACACACACACGCACACGCATGCATGCACGCACACACACGCATGCACGCACACACACACGCACACACACACATGCACGCGCACACACACACGCATGCACACACATGCACGCACACACACGCACCTGTTATACCCCACAAGGCTATTTTGTTAAGAGGCCTCTTCAAATGTTTATCATTTCAAAATGATTCTGTAACACTGCAGCACTCCTGGGACACATCCACATGAGTGGGGCTTGTCTCTATCTCTTGAGGGTCCCTTGTGTGGTTGTGGGAGATGTGGGAAGGCAAACATAAGCTGTGGCCTGCACTCACCCCACCCTTCCCTGGCAGGACTGGAAGGCCTCGAAGATGGTCACGTGGGATGTGTGTCTGCTCAGATGGTCTGTGCCCTGCAGGGATGGCTTCAGTCTCACCTCTCTACCCCTGACCTCTCTTCTGCCTGGACCCTCCAGGTCTCCCAGCGCCAGATGATGATGGCCTGCGCAGAAACCCACTGTGTGGGCTGCCCATGTCTGAGCCTCTTGGCGTTTGGGGAGTGCAAATAAAGAGGGAGGTTTTCTAAAGCTTGTCCTGCTTATGGTGTCTGGTATACCTTCAAGATTGCCTGGGTGGGGCGGGCCTGGCTAGCCCACCAGCCTCCTTTGTCAAGGGGAAGGGAAGCCCACAATCAGATTACCCACACTGAGCCCAGGTTCCCAGCAGCGAGTCAGGGGGTGCAGACCCTGACTTGTGTGGCCCCAGGCACAGCACCATGCCTCGTCTACCATCATCCCCTTCCAGCAGCGGCCTGGCCACAGGCCTGAAGACCTTACTTGGGCAGGGGGGGGTGGGGAGGGTGTTCCTCCTAGGACCCCTCTGCCTGGGTCACCCCTGAGGTTTCCTTGTGCACCTTGAAGCAAGGAAGATGGCCTAGTTCCCAGCAGGCATTGGGAGTGGGACAGGTGGCTGGAGCACAGGAGTTGGCAGAGTTGTTTGAGGCTTTCTGTCCCCCACACGTCAGTCACCTCATTCCATTGTGGCCCTCCAAGTCAGCTTGTCGGTTAGGCTTTGACTAATCCTGTGCATTGAAGCTTGATGGGCTGAGAGAGCGCCTGTCAGTCACTGTGGGGAGAGACAGCCCTGACAGTGGCGGGCAGGGCCCAGCATTGTGCGGAGGCTTTAGCAGCAGCTAATCTCGTGTCTTCCTTAAGAAAACATCACTTAGTCTGCCGGCCCAGGAGCCCTGGATGGGACCCTGCTTGTCAGCAAACAAAGGAATGTGTTTGCACCTTAATGGGCCCAAGGAGCCTGGCTCACAGTGCGAAGCGTGTGCAGGAGCTCTCAGACAGCCAATTAAGACACCAAGTGCTCGGGTGGGCCAGGTCCTTCTGACAAGTGCAGAGCCAGATCAGCCGTGTCCCATTTAATGCATGGCTGGTGGTGCACCCTGGTGGTTGGGATCCTGCAGGGAGAGTTCACCTCTAGGCTGAAGCGTTTATCTGCCTTGGAGGCAAAGAGGTCAGCCAACACCTCCTGCTATAGAAGACCTTAGGAGGCCCAGCCAAGGAGGGAAGTGGTCCATGAATTCCCCAGCCCTGGGAGCAGCCCCTGGTACAGGCAGACAAGCAGCTAGAAACAGTCTGGGTGTTTGGGGATGGTGGAAATGATGCTGGATGCATGATGTCCTAGGACCCCCAAGCAGCTGTCTGGGGTGAGAGCCCTTTACCTCCCTACCTACCCAGGCAGCCAAGAGTACCCATCGCTGGCAGCCTGAGCACCTCCATGAATCCACGTCCTCATAGTCCTTCTGTGTGGTTCTCTTGAACACTCCCCCCAGAACAGCCTTGCACATCTGCCTTCATAGCCTGAGTCCCCCTCTAGCAGGAGCCAAAGCATTCACAGCATCCCAGATGGCTCCAGGTCCACTGGCCCCTCTGCACAGGTGATTATGTTCTCCTTGGAAATGGCAGGCAGGGATCTGGCACAGCCTCTAAGCATGGAGGGCTGTGGGGCAAAGTCTGACTCAAGGAGTCTAAGGATTGTCACTACTTGGGCCACCATTAAGGCTGGATGCAGAGCTGGAATGGTTTCAGGGGACTCTAAAGGGCCCCCACTACTCTGGCAGGGGATAGACCCAGAGCCCCACTCAGGTACCTGCGGAACCAGGGCAGATACATGAGGGGACAACTTCCCTGCTTTTCCCTCTGGGGCTCCAGGACCCTGTGCTAAAACCAGGGCCAGCGTCAGGAGCAGAAGCATGACAGGATGCGTCTGTCCTGGGTATCCCTTCTGCCCCGTAGGATGACTGTGTGGTCAGCCCCCTCCTCACTGGGGCCAATCCTACTCTCCCCCCCACCCCCCTCCTTCCAGAGAAGGTGAGGCGGAGCCTGAGTGCCACAGGCCAGATGCTCTCCACCTGGCCCGGGGCCTCCTCGCCGCCCTTGCATGTTTTTATGGTGCAATGAAAATATGATTTTAATTCCTCAGATTGTTCCATCTAACCTGCAATTACCCCCGGCGACGTCTCACACACTTCTGCTTGTGGCTCCAGATTGCGCAAGGATATGGGAAGGAGGGGGGCGGGGAGGAGTGCTGTGCTGGAGCCAAGGGATCCCTCCTCTGCTTCACTCTCCCCTGGGAGGAAGGACTGGTCACTTCCCCCTACCATACCACACACTCTCCTTCCTCCAGACCCCTTCCATATTGTTCTGAGCCCCTCCCCTCAACAGGTGGGTATGAAGAAGGGGGGTGACAAACAGTTCTGAGGTAACCAAGGGTACGATAGTGGAAAGGCAAGGCCCTGTGAGGACCGAGGAGGGGTCTGGAGCTGACAGTGGGGGTGCTCAGTTCATGAGGTAGCTAAGATGCTCAGGGTGCACCCCTCCCCACACTATTCTGAACATCTCACGGCCCTGTGGGGACCCTACCTTCACTTAGTGGTGGGTGTGTGCTCAGGAAGTAAGTGCTCTGTGCCCTGGCCAGGGGCCCTGGGAACCAGCAGAGCTGCCCCCTGGTGAAGCAGCTTCTTAGTGTTGGGCGCTGTCTGTGCCTGTGGCCTCACGTTTGAGCTTGTCGCTGAGGTCCCTGTGTTTACTCTTCTCACTTTCTTGGCACATATATGCAGTTCACTTCTCCAGGCAGCAACTTCAGCCTTGGTGCCCAGGTAGCAATCAGGAGATGCCACAAGTGCCCTGGGCCCTGGCCTACTTCTGAACAAGGCCTAGCAGGCAGCCCTGCACTGGGGATACTCACCATGGATGGACAGCGTGCAGGCCAGTGAAGCTGTGTGATCGTAAGAGATCCAGGGCTGCAAAGCCACACTACCAATCCCTCTAGATGCTATTCATGCTCCAGGGGCCCAGCCTTGTACCTGATCGGGGGCTCCAGCCATGTGAAAGGCTGGACTGGCAGACAGACACAGTTTCTGCCTCCTTTAGCAGACCCTCAGTCCCTCTGATTCTCTTTGCCAACACCCATGGGTTCCCAGGCTCAGGCAAGGGTCCCTTCTTGCCAAGCCTGACCAAACCTGCTGGCCTGCCGTGCCTTGGCCTCTGCCTACCTGTCATGCATAGGCTGCATAGGGGAGACAGTGTAGGCTGGTCACTGCCAGACACAAGGGTGGATGTCCCCACCCAGAGGACAGGAAGCAACAATGGCCAGGCCGTGAGGCCAGCAGGTGAACACTGCAGGCCCAAGCTGGCTAGGCAGCTACCAGGCAGGGGCTTTAGAACCCACCAAAGCTGAGGCACATTGTTCTGCAGAGCCAGTTATATTGTGAAGCATTTGTGAGCCAATTCTCCATCCGGCCTCAGCCTCTACAAGCAGATGCTTCCCTCTTGGCCCCTGGGTCACAGGCTGTGGACTTCCCAGGTATGGAGACCTCAGCTCAAGCCAAACTGGGGTATGGACTAGGATGGGGAGGCGGGGCAGAGATGGAATGCAATCTAACTCCTTCCCCAGACTGGGCATCCCAGTCCTTAGACTGCTAGAGTAGGCTTTTGCCTTGAGGCCTGATTAGGAAGAGCCACTTATTGGCCTAAGCCTTGCCAACTCTCAACCCCATGATGCCAGAGACCTCATTGCTCATTTACCCAGAGACCTAGCCCCTACATTTACCTCCTGCCTGCATGGAGAGGAGGCATGGCTTATTGATTGAGATAGGATTTTGCTAGTTTCCCTCCTCCTGCCTCAAGCTGGCCTCCAACTATGATCCTTTTGAGCTCTGCTTCCCAAGTACCTGGACTTTTAGGTGTCAGCCAGAAGTCCTCTCGCTAAGGACCCAGGCTTGAACTAGCTGTGAACTGGCTGCATTGTGCTCCTTCTCCAACTCTTTCCAATGGGCTTCCATTGGATGCTGATGCCAGATCTTTGTTTCTTCCTTTCTCTGCCACCTTCCTAGATATGGGCTCTTGGTGGACATGCACAGTTCTGAGAGCTACCTAGATCCTTACTGAGCCAGACAGGGACATGAATAAATATGCTGAGATGCACACTGGTTTCCTGTCCACCCTGTCAGAAGGCAGCATGAGAGCCTGCCAGGTGCAGGCCTTGGTTGCCCCTTTCCCCTGCACGGCCAGATTGAGGAGGAGCTCCCTGATGCTTTGCTGTATTTCTTCCAGTTCAAGCAGGCTCGCCCAGCCCTTTGCCAACAGCAGCTCTGTCCTGCCCACAGCCCAGCTGGCATGTTAGCTTCCACAGGGTCATGCTGTGGGGGTCCAGATTCCCAGTGCTCCCTTCATCCAGGCTGAGGGGGGGGGGAAAGCTGCCCAGAATAGCACAGAATAGGCCGTCAAGGGCTCGTCCAACCATTACCCAGAATGCTCAGCTGGACAGAAGATTCTTCAACGAAGAGCTGCCTAGTGACTGACAAATAGGAAACGGCAAGACATGTCACAGTGACAGTGAACAACACTTGTGGCTGGGGTCATTGTTCCTGTTTCCAAAATCCACCACTACAGGGTGAAGTTTTGCCAGTCACCAAAGATGAGGAGTGAACGTGAATTCCCACTGAAACCACAGGTCCTCAGCTGCAGCTGCACCTGCCTACACTGACCAGGAACTGAGGATTTGGATACCTGCACTTGTCCAGGCACCACAAGATCACCTATGCCACACTTATGCCTCCCATGACCCAGGGGTATGGCTGACTTCTGAATGTCTGAGCTTGCTACTGCTCACATCTGGATAGGGAGCAACCCTGGGAGAGAATGGGACTTCAGGCCCATTTTACAGATGTTACTATTGATGCTGCTGCTGCTCTTCTCCATTTCCTCTTCCTCTTTGTTCTTGGGTGGTGCTAGGCTTGAACTCACAGCATTACACTTGCTAGGCAGGTACTCTACCATTTGAGATACAGAGTGAGATCTTTTTGCTTTAGTTATTTTTGCAATAGAGTCTCACCTTTTCTTCCAGGTCAGCCTGGACCAAATCCTATTATTTATGCTTTCTGACCTAGCTAGTATGACATGCATGTGTGGCCAAACTTAGGGATTTGTTTGTTTTTTGTGGACCTGAACTCTGGGCCTGGGCGCTGTCCCTCAGCTCTTCAGCTCAAGGCGAGCACTCTACTGCTTGAGCCACAGTG